AGCCAGTTACATAAATAATGTTTTACATGTAAATATAAAGTACGTAGTGCCCATCTTTTTTAAAAGTGGTTTACTTAAAAATGACCAAAAACTACCTATACTTTTCAAGTTATGGAATTAATAATTTCATTGCATTTCTGCACTTCTCCTTCTTCACCTTCTTGTTTCTATATTAGGTAGCTGACCTTATGTATATAAGGGGGAAGTCAAGAAAAGGTCAATAAAGCAGAGATGTGGTAAAGGACAGGAATAGGGAAAGGACAAGGCAGAGAATGCTCCATATGTTCCCAGCAGGTGGTCAGAGGCGGGCTTTGATGTGTTGTCTGCTGCCTTCTGCCAGGATAGAAGGACCAGTGCACAGCTAAACCCCTGAGGAGAGTGGCAAGGAACTGGGGAAGAATACAGAAGGAATTGGTGTAGGCTGGATTATTGACAAGCACGTTACAAAATTAAAGTTAGTTAGTGGGGGAGTTGCTCACTGTTCTCAGACAACTTTTACTCAGTTAAAAACACCAAACTTGTAGTGTCAATTTGCCCTGTGTCCCCAAGCAGTGGGAATTTATTCAAGTGATTAACCTTGAGCCAGGGCCTAAGGACAGAGCAGCATGTTACAGAATGTTAGCAATGCCTGCGCTCTCCCAGGGGAAAGCCTTAGCTTTCAAACAGCCTCCGGGAATCTTTGTGAGAACAGAGGGTTAGCACTTTAGTAGAAAGGATCAGATATAAGGGTCAGGGGTTATTTTATCTAAATGGCCTCAGGATATGTGTGTACGCTGCGTTGGAGGGAACATTTGTTGCTTTTATTGGAGAAAGGTGATTATTAAGGTTATCATTGGAAATCCCTTACTGACCTTTACCATATTCTTATGATAATAGGCATTGTCAACACCATCAGTACTGATATTAAGGAAAGATTTGGACAGCACTTTTATTTTATTAAGTGTTAGCTTTAGGCATGTAAGTGATACTCAGCTTCATCCTGTTGTATATCAAAACGGAATATCAAATATTATAAAAATAAACTCAAATAATAAAATAATAAATCTATTCATAGATTATAGAAAACCCACTGTAAATGATAAGGGGCATAATAAGAATAACAATAACAAGAAAAAAAACATCTAAATAAGCAGGATCTGCTTTCCTATAAAAGACTTAAGAGAGACTTAAATATTTTTATTTTATTTACATGTTGCATTCACTTGTTCTGAGTTACAGAGTAAAAAAAAATCAAGTGTGTTTCTTCTTCTCCTTTGTAGACTTACATTGGACACATCCTTCTGCTGGTCAATCCAAACAAAGAGCTGCCCATCTACTCCACTTTGGTAGGCATGCATTGAAATTACTTCTATTTCACGTAGGCTTACAATAAATGCTGTTCAGGTCGCTGTACTATGATGGCTTTAAATTTGCTAGGCTTGGCATTTTACATTCAAAATCAGACTATAAATGAGGCATGTTTGGTGTATAATAAGCATGAACAGATTAAATGGAACTTGTGGTTGATAAATAATTCATTCTTCTTGTCAGTGATACACAGCACATGGCTGACTAAGCATCAGCTAAAGAAGAGAGGATCCAGTTTAGCTAACACACCCAACCATTCGCTCTTAAAATCACATTTTTGACTTTATTATTACCTCTCCACTATACTTTTTTTATACTAGTCTTTATTGATGAAAAGCAACATTTGACATATGCAATAATAGCAGAGCCTGTCAGTGAATGGCTGATTATTCAATCATCATGATAATTTGTTTAATGTTGTGATATCAGTCAACAACAGTTTGCGTCGCTGCGTTTTAGTAGTGAATAACTGATTTTGAAATAGCTGAATTAATGCCAGCTTAGTGCTTGCCCATGTGGACCCAGGAGGGGTTGGATGGAGGAGGAGACATCTTCTCCTGCCATGACGGACTGAAGCCAAGCCCCCTCTGGCTGTCCCATCCCTGGCTGTGTCTGGATTCACTCCAGGCATCCATACCCAAGTGAGAGGGTGTGTGGAGGAACAGGGAGGAGCCAGTGTGAGGAGGACATATGTCACAACATGTGTGATCTGCTGGCTGTCTGTCACCCCCTCTGGTCTGGTGGTCCATATAGCCCATCTTCCTGCCCTTTTATCTGCTGGACTGGTCACACATAGGGTGTTACAGTACAGTCATTTCACAGTTCAGCGTGATAGACAATTGAGGGTTTAAAGTCTGATACATTTACTCTTTGTTTTACAATGGTGGAACTGTGACTGTTAGGTGTCAAGTTTCATTGTTCCTACTTTAAATAAGTACTTTTCTGTTATAGGCTGTAGTGCATCTTTATTAAGTAAAACTATGCAGAATTAACTTTTCTCCGCTGTTTTGATTGCTTTAACGAATATTGTAGAGCAAACAATCTGGATCCATGGTGACGATTTTGAATAAGGAAATAAATATTGTTAATTTTGACTGGTGTGAGAGATGGGAATTCAAAAACCAAACAATACATGGTGAAGAGCCTGATTATTTGTAACCCATTTGTATTATGGGTGAACTTAAAGGTTTAGCAGGTAAATTAACCAGTTTTTATTTTCTATTTGACTGTTAAAAATAGTTTAAAAATTGTATTTACTTTTTTTATATTTCCCTATGTTGCTTTTGTGTTTTTTGCAAAGCACTTTGAATTGCCTTGTTGCTGAAATGTCCTATACAAAAACATACCTTGCCTTGCTTTGTTAGAGTAACATTCTTCAAACACCTCTGTTGGTCAGAAGTCCCAAAGAAAACATCTTCACACAAACTGATTACATTATGCCACAATATATTGTTTCACCCTTAAAAGGATGCAGATAGAGTCAGCTTCAGTGTATGTTAAAACTGATGATAGTTTTCAGTTAATACATAATTGGTATATTGGTCAGTTTGGGTCAAATTTCTTTTTTTAGACTGAATGGTAAACTAAACCTTGTCAGTGAGAGGGAAACACAAACTCACACAGGTACGGAAAGTTATACCCAGCATGGTTTGACTATTTTGTTGAAATGTTATCCTCTGTGTTGCTCAACCCATGTGTGCATCCATGTTACATAAAGTTGTAATCCGATGTCTTGATGGACTCTATCTTTCTCTTTCAGGTGAGCCAGTTGTACCTGAGCTCCACAGGTCGTCTGTGCTCCTCTCTGCCTCCTCACATCTTCTCCTCAGCAGAAAGAGCTTACCACATGATGCTGCAGGAGAGACGCCCGCAGTGTTTTATCTTGAGGTACACCCTCCTCCTCTGACACACAAACACACACACACTCTCACAAACAAGGAACTCTGCGCCTCGGAATTATGAGACAGAAATGACAACAGAGCAAAATAATTGCGTGAATAATAGTAAAGTTCAGCTGGCGACCTGGTTTATCCACACCCCTCTGCCACACACCTGTTAAACACTCCCCAAGAGATTAATAGCTCTCAGCCTGAGCTTAGCTGTAGACCTGTTCAGTGTTCACACAGAGATGGATTTTGCTGGGAGCGTTTTACCATCTTGCTCTTTGTCCTCGCCTGGACGGAGGCAGCTCCCAAATTGCAATTAAATCCTGTTCCAGCTCTCCAGTGACATTCCTACTGAGTTGTAACCAATCTGGCTGAGAGTTAATGTGCCCTGGCCACAGACTATCCATCTCACTCAAACACACACAAAACAAACCTAAACACTCACACGCAAGGACATTGTACTGTGCATTCTCACATACACACACTCTCTTGTTTCCTTCATTCATTCCGTACTGCACTTTATCCCTTCGTTTCTTGTTTCTCTTTTGCACAAGCTTCCTGGTTCACTCTGTATTTCCTCACACGTGCGCAAAACCACACACACTCACTTACACATTTACAAGCAATCAGCAGCTATGATCCCCCGAGGCTAGTGCTCTAACAAAATGCCCTTGAAATCTAATAAAAACTGGTAAATGAAAAGACGGTGGAAAGGCCTTTGGACTTCACACTCAGCAGGGCTCTTTTCTAGGAAATATAGCAACACACATACACACAGACAAACCGCGCACCACAGCAACATTGCAGTCATTAGTAAAGGCTTCTGACCTTCTGATGCCATCTGCTTGGTGTTACTATGCTGGTCTCAACTCTCTGCATGTCGGTGAGTGTCAGAGCATGTACTGTAGATGTACCTTATGTCAGAGTTAATATCAACACAATGCTAAACTAAATACAGGCCTTCACTGCCAGACAAGTTGTGACAGTATCAGCGTGTGAAAAGTGGTTGTCAATGGAGCAACACAAGTTGTGTTAGAAAGAAAGAATAGATTGTGAATTTGATGGGAGGGGGTCCCTGAAGGGGTGGTGTCAGGTGGGTGGAGACATGTAACAGAGGTGACAGATGTGGGAAAACACCCTGATGACTAATGCATAATACTTATTCTCGTGAGAGACATTCAGAGAAGTGTAACACACACACAGATGCATGATTTTTGTACTGTTTGCCATTTACTCTTGATGTATTGCAGACTTTATTTATTATTATTTATTACTTTTGCTTGCCCATTTTTGGCACTGTTCCCTATCTGTTCATTTCTTTGCTGTTTCTAAAAGCAAGTTTATATTTAAAATAGGGGTGTAATGAGACACATAGCTCGCAAGATTAGACTAGAACACGATATTCATGGATTCATGAGATAGAGACCAGATTTTTTTTTAAATCTTCAATGCTGAATTATATGAACATTTTGAGCATTAAACAGTTACTTTCCTGCATTCTGGTGAAATTGTCTGCACCAATTTAACACAAAATTCAGGTTGCAGGTGACAATTCAAAATATGAAAATGTAACAGAAATAATGCAGTCAGGCTCTCATTCTCAGGCACTTTATATTTTGTTCACATCAATTTTTGCTAGATCAACTTGTGTCATGTAATATCATCCCTGCTGAGTCAACACACATGCAGGCGTGATTCAGTCTTCCCCTTTTTGAGTCTTTTGTACGGGGAAGTATGATCTTTAAATGTCCAGGCACCTTTTCATCTCAATGATAAATTAATTCATTTTGATTCAGTTATAAACTCCTGGACTATAATAGCTACTGTGTGTCAGCAGGTTTTCTACTCATGTTCAAAACTTTCTGCTCATTCAAAATCTATCCCACATCTGTGTAGAATAATGATTTCATTTAATAAAAATTATTTATTTATTTTTTAACTACCTGCCCTATACTCTGATGTGCATTACGTTATTTCCAAAACTGACCTACAACACTTCTGATCAGGTATAATTCTCACCACAAATCCACACACATGTTAACTTCAGCACCTCCGATAAAGTTCTCCTCACATTCCCAAACGGAGCAAGTTTGCGCTTTAGTTTTTAGATACAGTTTTTGCAAAACTATACCTGTTAGTTACCGCTCTGTCACGACTGTCTGCTCGCAGTGCGAGAGCGGGTTCACTTAATTATTATCATGGCATACGCTGGTGTCGCATCAGCTGGGCGGAGTTGGTTCACTCCATAAGTCGACATTATTAGTTATACATTTATTTTTCACAGCATGAGAAAATTTAATTGTGGCATGACAGCATGGGAAAAATGTAAATTGCTATTAACCTGACAAGAAATCTCATCACGTTTTACCTTTGTGAGATCTCGTCACACCACTTATTTAAAACATGGTTGCCAAAGCAATGATAGCAAAAACATGTATCAACATTGTGTCTTTGTATGTCTTTGCATGTCTTTGCATAATATGTTTTACGTGAGTGAAATATAGTATTATCTGCTTACGAAAGGGTATTGTAACCTCTATTAATATCATAATACTGCAGAAACTCGTAAGGGCCGGTGTGAACAGGAGGAATCATCACAGCAAGCAGAGCCTCTTCCATTGTTCATATGTGCTATTGTTTTAAAGCAAACACATGGAAAATTAGAGACAACAACAAGACATAAAAGAAAAAAAGCATCACTTAAGGCTTGAATGACGAATGATGATGATGATGATGAATAAATCTGCTTTTTTCTGTCTCTCCAGTGGCGAAAGTGGTTCTGGGAAAACAGAGGCCTCTAAGCACATAGTGAGACACTTGACAGCCCGCTCCAGCCCAAAGGCTTTGCGCTGGAGCCCAGAATGAAACACGTAAGTCTGGGCAGTCTTCGGATTTGTGGGTGCCCTGGAGGCTTATATGGCTAAGGAACATGTGATGTAACCACCATGAGTCTTGAATCCTTTGTTGCTCTCATGCCCTTGTTTCTTTACTTTGAGTTTACATAAAAGGCAAACCGCTAGACAAATAATCTTAGTATACAGCTTAGGCCTGGGCGAAAATCGATTGAATGAATTAATTCGAATTTTTGTTGCGGGCGATTTAAAAAATAAGTAAATCGAGTTTTTGTGTAATAGCACATTTTTGGCTCCCCGGGGTTTCCGTAGTGTTCGTTTCCCATAGCGACAACATCATACACTAAACAGCAACAGCAAGCGACAAAATGGCTACCGGTGAGAGCGGGAAGTTTGTTCCCAAGAAAGGAATAAAGTCATCTGTTGTTTGGAACTGGTATGGGTTTGCTGCGACAGATGTGGAACAACAGACACCACGCTGCAACATTTGCCTAAAGCCTATCGCAGTGAAAGGCAGCAGCACCACAAACCTATTCCAACACCTGAAACAGAGACATCCAGCCGAATATGAAAAATGCCAGTCTCTCCGCGATGAACAAAGCCGCACTGACCAACAAACCTTATTGCTTTCCTTAAGTAGGGGGGAAATCGGAAAAAATCGTAAATTGAATTAAAGTAAATAAAATCGGAGATTTTATTTTTAGGCCATATCGCCCAGCCCTAATACAGCTGCGCAGTTCATTTCAAATTCAATGCTCTACTCATCCAGAACTTAATGAATATTTGTGTGTTCTTCAAAGCAATGCACTGACTGAATCTTTCTCTCTGTGCTTCTGTCTTTCTATGCTTATTATTCTTCCACCATGTCATCTCTGTGATAAAAAAAAGCTGTGTAAAAGCTGTGTAAATGTATCCTAATGTTCTTCTGTTGCTGTGGTGGGGGAGAGAATAGATGTATGGATTAGTACACCAGAGTATGGGGCCTTTACTGGTAGTCTTTTCTTTTCTGCTTGATAGCTGTTCATTTGTCGAAGACACCATTTGGGCATTAAGACCTTGTGTTTGATTGTATCATCGAGATTTCCATTAAAGTGACTCTATCTCTTGTGATGCTGCTTCTTTCTAGAACAGGGCCATTTGCAGCAGAGACAACTGTTTGGCTGTTATTCTTAGCGGCAGTCCTTTTTCCGTTTCCAAAAAATGACAGGAGATTACAACAAATAACCATATCCCCTGCCTGGATACAATCATAGAATAGATAATAACCAGACATTTTGTATAGAAACATATAATGATATATTTTTTCAAGTGTTGAAGCAAGGTCTGTCATTTAGGTCAGCCCCTTACTTCACTGCTTCTCTTCGTATTCCCAGTTGTGTGGTTGTGGTTCAGATTATGATGCGTTCATGGTGCTTAACACCATGTTCTGCGCTCAGTCTACCGGTTGGGTAACAAAGCGTGCTGCGTTTTGATGAAGTCATCGTTATGTAGTCGATAACTGGGTCAGCTCCTTCTCTGATCATCCTGGGGCACAAAAGAATGCTGAGGACCCAGCTAATGGAAACATATTGACATCTAGTGGTAGAAAGTGGAATTGGAGTAGAACTCCGTTATGTTTCAGGTCTAGAAATCTGTGTAAGAGAGATAGTATGTGTGGGTTGATTTCATTATTTTGGAAAAGAAATTAGTGTATAATCTGCAGTGTAAGTGATTCTGAAAGATAGTCCAAATCTCTGGTAACATTTCCCTTGGTTTGATCAAATGGACAGGTTAACTGTATTCTGGAGGCCTTTGGTCATGCAAAGACTCTGAGGAACAACAACTCAAGCCGCTTTATCAAGCTGTTGACCATCCAGTACTGTGAAAAGAGAAGGACGCTGCTCCGAGGTAACCTACATTTTTGCCAATGTAGCACTCCATGTGAACTGACTGTTTGGTAGTAAGCTTTATTTTCACTTTTATATAAGTATTGTCTTTATTACACATGAGACACGAGACAAGGATGACAAGCTACTCCTGTCAAAACATTTGACTCAGTTCTTCAAAATGTTATATTTTGGTTTAGTTATACCAAACTGGAAATAAAACGCTTCCCTACATTCTTTGATTATTTAAATAGAATATGTATTGCCAAGATAACTGAGCAAATAGTTATTGTTTCCACAGTCTGGATCAATAGGTTTATGATAATAGTACAGATACCAAAGAAATAAATTATAAGTTTCTGACTATAATTAAGGCACAGTACATAATACATTTAAGGTATGATGATAATAGGCTGAATCCCAATTTCCACACTTACTGACTTTGAGGTGCATTCCCGGTAACTCTGTGAGGGCTTAGGACTGTCCCACTGTCAAATCATTGGGTGCATGAGGGCTCTCTTGCAAACTTTATAAACCTTTATTGCACACTTTCCATAAGACCGCATTTTCACAGACTTTGCCTGAGGGAATGAACCACATTTCATAGCGTTGCGACATTAAACACAGAATTACCAGGTGAAACCAGTGTTAACATGCATAAACAAATAAGTTTACATATGTATGATTCTGTTTTGATTTAAAAAAATATTAAATTTGTTATTATTACCTCTTGTCCACATTTAATTTTCAAATAATCAGTTTCCTTGGCAAGAGCTTGGAATACATTCAAATCAGACAGTCGGTCCCATCAGTGCATCGGCCTTAAAGAAAAGTAAAAACCCACAATTGTTTTGCTGTAGTCTTGGTAACGTAATGTGATATGTTGCAAATTCTGGGCTGTTCCATTTTACCATTTTGGGCCCTTACAGACTCTCACACTTATGCTATTACCAGGTGACATCAACTAACGCTGTGAGGGTTCAGGAATTAGGCTTTAGGGTGGAGACGGATTTAGCTGATATAGTATTCTATGAAATCAGGAGCAGAGTAGTGAAACACCAACAGGGGGCAGTAAAAGCCCATTAGACTATTGGTGTACTTGTGCACCATTTTTACAGCCCTGTTCACCTTATTTCACCCCAGTTAATTTAATCAGTAAGCACTGTGGCCACAAATTGAATGTTCTGTACTGCTGTCATCAGCACTGTTCAAATGTAACTTATTCACCTGTTATTGAAGTATAAAGCATCTGATGTTTCAGCCCATGTGTACACCCACATGCTGGAGAAGTCTCGCCTGGTCCACCTGCCTCCTCACCAACACAACTTCAGCATCTTCTATCTGATGGCTGAAGGCCTGTCACCGGAGGAGAACAGCGCACTTTACCTCAACAACATCCTGGCTCATAGGTACGTGGCTGTCAGCTGCCGTGTGTATATTGACAGTTCATATAATCACTGGTGAAAATAGACTATGGGTGCTGGTTGGTGAGCTCACCCACTTTAGCTGTTTAATGAGTTTAATGAATGAAGTGTTTGGCCACTTTCTGAATATATGTTAGAGACCTTAATTTGCTCACATGAAGTACTTACTGTGAAAAAGCTACAGAGCTCACAATCTACAGTTTAATCCACCACTTATAATATAAGACATTTATATTTGATTTCTTCAGAGCATACATGAGTGTTTGTATCATCTTTTATCAACCATGTCTTGGTATATGTACACCCTTTTGCGTGTCTGTGTGCACATTTATATGAATGTAGATTTTTTACTTTAATCTGATTTTTCTTTGTGTTATACATCTCTACTCATGCATGTTCTTACTTGTAGACTGTGAGCTACTCTCACTTTGCTGTTATCCACTGTACACCACCAGTGTTATCACCAGTGTGATAACCATTGACCTAAATCAGTCTGTTTTGGAGCTTGAGAAACACACAGCACCTCTAGCATCACACCAACTCATTGTGTCTTTTTGTGTCTTTGCTGAATGTGAGTGATCCAGTTCTGCAGATTTCAAACCCTGTTTGCCCTTTCTCTTCTCTCCCGAACACAGCTCTCGCTGTAGTGTTACTGGGACTGTATGTCATTCTGTACAAAACTGCCTCATAAATCTTGTGGTTCTAGATCTTTCTCATCCAAATTTATGAGCTCAAATTCCTGCTGAGCACATGGTTGCATGTTTGGAACGATGCACCTGTCGCTGTACGCTGATCACAGCATTCACCTTGTCCTTTGTTTATTATGTTTTTGTGGTTGTCTGAAATATTGGTCCACATTACCTCCATCTTTTTCTTCTTACTCCAGGTATCTTAGTGGAGGACTTCCAGGAGAGAAGCCTCCAATAGCTACAGCCTCTACCCAGAGCAGGGAACGCCTCGCAGCAGTCAAGCAAGCTCTGCGAGCCCTGGGTTTCAACAAACAGGTATTGATTCAGATGAAGGATGCAGCCCACAAAAATGGCACAAAAGGCTACAGGCTGAACCTTAACCTTGTCCACATTCTAACCTCACAAAGAGCCAAAGTAAGGTTAATTTAATTTACAAGCTTTTGGCCAATTTGGAAAGTAAAGTACATAAAATTGTATTAGCAGAATGTTGTCCCACTAATACCCCGTAAATAATGACATGGTCACAAGTAATTTCTCAGTTTCACAGGTTGATGAGGATTGCCCATGCTCCTTTAAACAACTGACCACTGGATTGTGGGACACTGTAGGCTGCAAAGGACACAAGAGTGTGCCTTCCCAATTCAGGCACAAGAAGCATTTGAAATGATGCAGGCATTATCGGCCTGTTAGGACACATCTGGCCTAGATGTGTGGATTTCCTAGGATCCTCAGCTCATCAAGTGTTTCAATTATCCATCCAAATACCATATAAAATGTGTCACCAAATGCAGAAGACAAGACTTTGATTTATGCATATTATGTGCATGCAGTGTGCTACAATGTGTGGTACAGTCCGTCCTGTGCACCACCAGCCATGTTTCCAGCCCATTATCAGGTTCTATTCTTAGATTCCCAGTCAGCATCTGTCAGCAGTGAGCGACCACCATCTCACCTTTTAATCCAGTAGCAGTCCATACACACAGGCAAGGCCTAAGATACAGAGGAACAGAGCAATAGATAGTGGTATTATCAGAGGACAGTAGTGTCCACTGTGTCCAAGGGACAGAAGAAGAAGTGGGTGAGTAGGAGTAGAAGTGATAGACCACCCATTGGTCTCTGTCTAAGTATAATCAGGGGACGACTCCCAGTCCAGACCCAAAGGTCATTCGTCATTAACGCTCCTTTTCTCTCCCTCACTCCCTTTCTTCTTCTTTATAAGTGGGGGTAGTCTGTGTATAGAGTGTCAGACAGAGACTAATGCTTGTGTTTATCTCCCAGATATCAGCTCCAATATCCTGCCTTGAGGGAGTGCACACACAGACATATATTCACACACACACACACAAGCACACACCCTCAAACTCAAACATCCCCCTCTCAGAGATTCAGAGCAGTGGGTAAGGGGGTATTCCATTAAGTGTCCTCTAGTCAAGGGCAAAGAGGAAGGGAGGGTTGGAGGGAGGAAGAGAAGTGTGTAAATGAAGGGAGGAGGGTTGACACAAAAGCATTGTTTTTTTTAAGTGGTATTCATGCATTTTTGCAATACATAGAAGAATGAGACTTCTTTTTTCTATTTTTCTCTTATTGACTAGAAATTACAATTACATTGAAACCAACGTAAGTCAGTCTCTCAACGCTTTCTAGACATCTCTACTCTGCCTGTCACATTCAGCCCCAAGCCCATTTGTTCCTACTGGAGATGTAAATGTTTAAAAGTAGATTGTAAACATAGACTTAATTTTTTTTTAAAGCCAAGTAATTTCCTAAAACAGCTGTACACTGTAGTTCTTAAAACAGGAGTAGCTAGTCTATTTGTTGGGCACTATTTGGAGCTGACATTTGGTGAAGTGGTGAGCATTTTCAGCACCACGTGAGATTGATTTAAAAAAACAAAAACAAACTTGAGAAGCCATGGTAATGGAGGAACATCACTGATTTATCATTCTTTGGCCATAACTATACTTGTTAGTAAGTATATTTTCTAAGTAGGTTTGGTTTTTGGTATTTTCATGGGACTTGATGACATTAAGATAAATATAGAATATCTCTAGTCCTGTCCATTATAAGAGTTTGTATTTAGGATCATGATAAATTTGCTCTTTGTAAGTTGTTATTAAGCAGTGAAAAATGGAAATCCATGTTTTTTTTTTGATTTTACTAATGTCTACTACCCTCAGTAGTTTGTCTCTCTAAACCTCCACTCTCTATCTCTTTCTATCTTTTCCATTGTGTGTGTCTCTCTCTCTCTCTCTCTCTGCTAGGAGGTTGACTCAGTGTTCATGCTGTTATCCGCTGTGCTCCATATTGGGGACCTACGTTTTACGGCATTGACAGATGCCGATACAGCCTTCCCTTCTGACCTGCAGCTGCTGGAGAGAGGTCAGTTACCCCCGTCACATGACCGGGGTCACATTTCCACCCTGTGTGGATGTGGGTGCGCCAAACCCTCTCATTATGTTGACCTCATCGTCATCAATCCTCTTTTGCTCTCTCCCTTGGAGTTGTGCTTGGCAGCTTGCCAGCACTAGCTGAATGCCAGTCACCTGTTTGGTAAGCCTAATTTACTGCCAAAATGTAACCATGGTGAGGAGAAATCGCTTTTACACACACAATTTACCGCTAGGGAGGTCAGTGTTTTCTCTCTCTTTCTCTGTCCCGCTCCCTCATTATGCAACCACTGCATGTGCTCCTGCGACCCCTGACCTTAGTGAGATGGTAAACAAATGACATCAGCGCCTGAATGGGAAAGAGCCTGTCGTTGTCAGGGAGATGTGATGTCAAAACTAGTGATGTAAGCAAAGGGACTCTAGGTTGCTGTCACCTGTGTCTGCTGCTTGTTTATGGGTTCTGCTCACAAATCCACTGATGACTAATTGCTGCCAGCTCCACCGATCGATTAAGCTGGAATTATCTGTAGCAGAGCTGAGCAGGATGGGTTCTGGGATGCTACCAGTGCTACCTTTCTGAATAATCACATCCTTACAGTTAATGTTTAATGCTGTTATTTTTATGTCTTTCATCATGTCAACATGTCATGCTGTTTGTTCTGCCTCTCTGTTTTCCTCTGCACAGTTTCTGGAATGTTGCAGGTGTGCTCCAATGACTTAAGCACGGCCCTCACCTCAGACATTCAGTACTTCAAAGGTATCCACTCACCAGCCTTCGACATCACCTGACCCTCCCTGTTTGACACACATAAGCAGATTCATTCTCTCAAAATGCTTATCAGGGGATTAATCTTTACTGCAAAGACAAGTTATAAATAGAGCTTTTAATAAGGTTTAATAAGGTAAAAGTCTGTTAACAATATAATAGCCTTTATTATTATAACATGAAACATCTCTTCATAAACATCCCTTATTGTGACCACGACATGTACAGAGTGAGACAGTTTATAGTTGAAAAATAAACTTCAGTGCTCTGTCATGGACAAATGATTTAGTGACACTACAACACTACACTACAACATTTACTTCTGAATTACTGCAAAAATATTTTTGGATAGGATCTGTACTGAAAATTGTCAGCAGACATCTATGTAGATAACAGGATACCTGTGATAAACTAAAATATAGAATTAGGGCTAGGCGCGCTTGTTATTATCGTGTTAGCGCATTAATTAATTAATGCCGACAATTATTTTATCGCACGTTAACACAGTTTTTAAAAAAATAGTATTATTTTGAAAGTCCATTTCTCACTGGCTCTGAATACACATACAGTCAAACCATGGCTCACGGGGGGGGGGGGTTGCCACCACCCGCGATCCGTTATCTCGGCAGCTTGTTAATGACACAGCCTATCAAACAACTCAAACAACCAACATCTGCACCCTGTGTGTTCAATGCTGCTTTAACATTACCTGGTCTGTGCTTGTGAAATATCCACTGCGACTTGTAACATCATTTGAAGTTTTTAACCAAGTAAAGTCTGTGCAAGCGAGTGAACACATGCACATAAGACGACCGCTGTCAGGCTTGTGTATTATCTAGCGTAAACCACTTTGATGGGTGTCTTCTTGCAGCAGAAAACAACAACTTTTGTATGCATGTGGATATGAAATCCCAGAGAAATTGGTTCCTTTTAATAAAATAAGAATGTTATTCTGATGAAAGTCTATAAAAACCTAAAATAATTAACCTTACAAATACCATCTATCATTATTACTGCATTATCAGCCGAATCATGAAGTGCCAGAAATTGTATTGCCATCTCCCTTTTGTGTCAGGTGACGTGATCACTCGGCGCCACACAGTGGAAATGTCAGAACAGTACAGAGACCAGCTCGCAAAGGCCCTCTACGGACGCCTCTTCAGCTATCTGGTCAACAGTACCAACGACTACCTTCAGGGACAGCAGGACAGCATTGGGTGTGTGTGCGCCTGTTTCTGTGTGTGTTTATGCACGTGTTCCTAGGGGTTTTTACTATGGAAGCCTAGGATGTTGATAACTGTTATCACAAACACCACCAGTGTAGTTTATCTGTGATCGCACAAGAGCAGCCTCTGGAGTGAGAGGACTGATACTGTAACATGACACACAGTTTAGAGTGGAGGTTTGTAATAGTTTACATTGCATGACATGCACAAATAGGCAAGTACACTGAAATGAATAATACTAAACAACAGGGTAGAGATGGAGGACACGCCCAAGGTTTATGTGGAGGTCACACAAGGACACACACATCTAGGTTGAGGCAATGGGATCCTTGGTGTTGTTGATGTTGTGAAGTCTTATCATGCTGTCAGATAACCCGGGCTCCATCTTCTGGAATGTGTTTGTGCTTTGCATTGTTTACACACCAACCACAGAATGTAATTTGTCAACCACACTACTTACTCATGGCACACCCACTTCAGTTGTGTTATTGCATGCATGCACACACACACACACACACACACACACACACACACACAGACACACACAAACATGATAATTCCTGTCAGAGTGACGGAGGCAAGCAAACAAGTTCTCACATTGATCCCGGAGTTACAGTGTTGTAATTCATATGCCCTCTCTCTGTTAATTTCTTACAGTGATCCTTCCTTAGAAATTGGGATCTTGGACATCTTTGGGTTTGAAGAAGTTCAGAGGAATGGATTTGAGCAGGTGGGACAATCCCCCCCACCCCCACCCCCTCAAAATGCATTAGTGTTGTGTTTCTCTTCCCTTAAAACTGACAAATTGAAATTGAAATCAAGCTTAATGCATATATGAGATTCTGTGGTTAACACCATTGACTTAGAGGGCTGTAGAAATCTCTCTGGATAGTATGTGGTGTAGTAGTTTTGAACAGATCTTAATGAAACTGTTAACATATTTGGGACTGTTGTCTATTTTAGTCTGTAATGAATGAGGTGAGGTCTGTGGCTGACTGTGGTGTGATTTTCAGCTGTCCTCAAATGAACTTGACTGCTGACACAATGACTGCCTGTGTGTGAGAGTAATAGGCAGCGTCAGATCTGTGTGTGTGTGTGTGTGTGTGTATCTTCAAAATATAATTCACGTTATATTTTCGGGGTCACAATACAAATCATAATTGATTATTTAAAATAAAATCTCAATTCAATGAAGTTGCTCCTAGCTGTATTTGTTTCTGTATGAAGAAATGTAAACATTTGTCTATAGCCGCTACACAGAAGAAAACAACCAGCAACAATGGCAGATAACTAGATTATTAAAAAAAAATTAAGAAGCTGCATAATTCAGTAAAAGTCAATGTTGTGGTCCTACAGGAAAAATTAACATTAACAACATTAATAGATGTGAAATGTGGGCATTTGTATATTCTTCTGTGTGTTTTTGTACATACAGTACATGAATGGCATGTATCTGTCTGCGACGCTTGGTTATGTTCAGTATGTCATTATATGTGATTGCATTGCAGAGTGTACAACAAGTGCAGCTCTACATAGCTCACCTGTTATGGCCTGTAAATCTGCCCTGTGCTCATCAAGTGTGTACTGTTAATAGACATCCCCACTGTAAGACCAGCAAGGGCCAGACAGACAAGTCTGTATATCACTGTGTGTGTGTGTGTGTGTGTGTGTGTGTGTGTTTGTGTGTGTGTGAGGTGTTGGGGTGTTGGGGTGTAATTCATAGTGCTCAAGAGGCTCGGAGCTTACGTTCCATCCCTGTGGATCTCCCAATCTCCTCTCAGCTTTTATTAAGGCGGGCGTGTGACTTTGGACTTTGTGTCTGGATGTTCTCTTATCCAAGTGGAAGTGAGGGATTGCGTGACTTAATGTCACAGAGAGAGCAAGGGCATGGGGGGGACACAATTTCTGGCAGGAGGTGGCATTGCCCGCCTCTTTCCCTGAGACATCTTCTCCATTGTTGCTGCATATCAATATCAGCCTGCACAGGCACGCTCGACATGCGCAGCATGATCAGGGTCATTAGTGCTTGTTAATTAGAGCTGTGTTTGTCAGGGGTGTGTTGTACCTGCTCAGCACTTTGCTAATGAGCTAACTCAATCAACCACCTGCTGGGACTAAGCCTTTAATATACTAGACTAGCTTGTAGACAAACACTGATGAAAGAAAAAACAGGGCTACACCTGCCTGCACCACAGAACAACACACCTCTACATCAGCACTTCTCAATCAGCGGGCTATAAGACAAAATGTGGGTTATGGCACTGTTGTGACATAATCACATGACGGTGCCCAAAGAAACACGCTTAACCTTGTTTGTTTATGAATGTCACTTCCAGCTAATGAGAATTCAGTCTTTTCAGTGACTGGCTGAATCTAGTTAACAACAATATCATTAATTTATTCATTAATTTTGTGATGTAGTCATTATCGCCTAACATACGATATCCATGTTATTGGCTTGCATGTCTTCCTCTGTCTGGCATCTTAGATGGGGGAAAAAAAGTAAATTTGGGTACAAAGGATAGATGCATCAGATTCAGGGTTGAAAAGAGGGACACAGCTGTATGACAAGTCATGCTTAATGCTACAATGTTGTAAGACTTTTTTTTGTGTTCCGCTTTGTGAAACATTTGGGTTCAGGAGAAGTTTAAACAGGCCTGCTGCTGCAGTCTGCTGTTGTGTGTTGTTCCACTTCATATTGCACGTTCTTTTTCATTACATCAATGTGACAAGTCCCACTTGAGTCTCCTCTCTAGAGCTCCACACACACACACACGCCAGACAAACCCATTTGATTGACTCCCCTTTGCTCAGATTGGTTGACTTCTGGGTTAGGAAGAGTTCATATGTCTCAACAGGAACACTTCGTCCATATTTTAGTAGGAATGTAAAAATACATAGGGGGACATCCATTACAGTGTATACTATGCATGAGTTGATGTTTTTTTATTGATATTTGTGTCTTAACATTTTGTCATAACAGGAAGGTTATAAGACATTTCTTAAAACATTTTCATATTATGAACTGTAAACAGCTCACTTCATTTCCGGGTCAGGTGTGTTTTATAAGTAATCACTTCATTTATGCCCCATTGACTTCACTGTTGGTGCCACAGCAGGTTGTGTTTGAGATCATATTTGTGAATTTGTTTGCTTTAACAACAAACATACATCACCGTGTCTCTGAGGTGGAACTTCATGCCGTGCGCACTGAAGTGTGTGTTTATGGGTTGATGTGTGTGCCTAAGTGTGTGTTGTGTGCATTCTAGCTGTGCGTGAACATGACCAACGAGCGGCTGAGACAGTTCGTCTCTGAGGTGCTGTTCCAGCAGGAGCAGGCTGAGTGTCTGCAGGAGGGCATTGCCATGGAGAGCCCGCGCTCCCCCACCATCCAACCAGCCGTTGTGGACTTCTTTCTTCAGGTACTTTACATTGCTGGTTTAGACCAGTCCAGTCCAGTTTGGTGTGTCATTGTGTGATTCAACATTGGAAGCCAACCCACAGCTTTTACAAAATCACACAAATAAATTAAACTTGCATACAAATTCACCTTAGAAAACTTTGGAAATTGTTTCAATAAATGATTTGCTGTTTCTCTTTTTTTTTTCTTATGGAAGTTTTATTTGAAAGTAAGACATCCAAGAAAAATGTAACACATTGTGTAAAATAAAACTCAAGCTGTTATAGGACTGGTGACATCATGTCCCTGGTTTGATTGTGGCCGGACCCATTTGTTGCATGTTACCCTTTCACCTCATGTTTCCTGTCTGTCTCTACTATCTCTATCAGTAATTGACAAAATACCACAAAAATATGAAACAGAATATATTTGATATTCCAGGGATAACTCTACCCTATGGGGATCAATAAAAGTTTCATGGTCACAAGTATTTATTGCTATTATTATCGAGGGTGCTTTGTAAATGTGACTGACATAAATAACGTGAGCATCTGTTGGTTTTTCCTTCAGAAGCCTCAAGGACTGCTGTGTGTGTTAGATGAGGAGAGCCAGAGCCTGCGGCCAGCAGAGCAGACCCTGTACAAGAGGCTGTCAACCCAGCTGGACTCCAATCCGACTCACGGCCTCTCTCTCACAACCAAGGACGGCAATGGAAACCCCCCCCCCAAAGACCAGGGCCCAGCATTTACTGTCAGCCACTATGCTGGACAGGTCTGTCTGTATTACAGAAAAATATATTAAGAAGTGGCAGTGCTGGGTATTGTAAAATGAAGTCTATCACAACCAATTGTCTTTGCAGTAGACCTTTAACTCTTCTGAGCGATAAACAGAAAAATCCTAAATTATGACTTCTGTTTTGTACAAAGCAAAGAAGTGCATGTCAGTGCTTCTTAAATGAACGACGTGCCTCAGGCTTGATAATCTCCTGGGGAAGAAGGAGATTGATACAACTCATACAATAATCTTTCAGGCTTGTGTCCAGAAACATAAAAAAAAAAAATCAACTGCTCACTCAACTCATCGTCTGCCCTTGGTAACATACTTGTGCGTTAATAGTCATGTTTGGTCTGCTATATTTCGTTGGTGACTCATAGAACAGTTGTGATGCATACAAGTTGACTATTGATTCCTGAATTCTATGAAAACACATTAAGAGGTATAGGAAATTGCTGAAACGTAGAGGAAATAGCGGTGGTATGTAACAATAATTAATTTTCACTTGACATACCCTTGACAAACCAGCAGCCGCTACACAGAAGAAATTAACAAGCTGAGCCTCTGTGCTCCACTGTGGAATCTAATATCCTAGCACAAACATATTAAGCTTTAAAAAAGCTCCTGTTTCTCCTACAACTTCAGATCAGATCTTTATTGTCCCTTGGGGGGAAATTTAATTTACAGTAGGGCAAAAACACAAACGCAACATACAACAGGACATGGTACATTAATCATAACAGTTACAGCAAATGACCAAATAAAAAAGATGTATCTGTTTGTTACAAATATCAAACCATTGGAATGGTAGCCATGATAAAGTGCTTCTGAGCATTGTAGTCAAGGTTCAGTGCAAATTAAGCGCATTTCTTGCGCTTGGAACAAAGGAAAATTTAAACCTGTTGGTATTCACCCTGGGAGACCTGTATTTCCGGCCAGGAAGGAGAAGAATACATTCCTCCAAGAGCAGGTGGCCGTGCCTTACGCAAAACTGGTCTGTCATAGATATCTGCTAAATAACGCTGCAGCGTGCCAATGATTTTGCTGGTTGAACAAATTGAACAAATGATTTTCTTTGAGGTTCCTTAATCAAATAAAACAAAAAGATGATCCAGGCTGGCTAATTAACTGAATTTTGTGTCTAAACTAGTCTGTTTATCTATGTGTCATAGATTATGATATTATTGTGCAAATTGTATGAAAGCTGTCTTTTCTCTATATTAGAAACCTCTTTTTTAAAGCCAATTCTGTTAGGTGGCAAAAGTAAGAGCTTTATTTTGATGAGATAAATAGGCTGCACCTTAAAAAGAAATAAAAAGAAATCCATTTATCTGTGGGTAGCAGGCATTATGCGGAGAAGAACATTATTATATTTCAAAATAATGTTTTTCTTTAAAAGACTAGATGGCAAAATGTGTCAGTGTGTGACACTGCTGTCAGGTCAACACGACAACACGATTGTTTTTATGCTACCACGTCTTTCAGCTGTTAGATTGTGGTGGGTTTACATGCCAGCATGTTTGGTTTGTTATAAGTTAATGTTTCTGGTCATGCAAATGATACAAATTTATTTATTAATTTTTCATTTATTAATTTTTCATTTATTCATATAGCCAAAGGAGCTCCAATTGTTGCTTTTGCAAAGAAATAGGTCAGTGTGAGCTGGTATATTCTTTTACACATAAGATTAAATGCGAAAAGTGAATGTCCATGTGTGATTTTTTTCCACCAGATTTCATATGACCTCACGGGGTCACTCACAAGAAACAAGGACTCCCTTCCTCAGAATCTCTTGTTAATGATGAAGTGTAAGTACCGAATGAATAACACACATATGAGCACACTGTGGCGTCAGAGCACACTTGATCACAAAAATGTACTCTTGTCTAAACTAACATCATACAAAACCACTCTTTGTCAAAGTGTGGCCGTGTTTGTATGTGTGTATTTCATCCCATATGCAGCAGACAGCACCGTCTGTGTGTGTATTGTCTATAGAAGGTGCCAGATGTGAGGTGTTGTGGTTAGCAGGACACAGGCAGTCGTTGTGTGACTGCCAAGCTAGCCTTACGTCTAGCAGCCTAATTGCTATAATTTCCATGATGAGGCTAATCTTCTAAAGGCTAGCCTTTCACTCACACTTGGCTGTTGTCCCTCCATCTGACCAAGTCGATGTGTCGCTGCCATTCAGGTACACACACTGACATACGTACTATGTGTTTTCTTCTTCCCCTCCCCACTTTAAGTTTAAGCCTTAAAGCCAATAGAAGGGAAGAGTGATCTATGTAAGTCTCTATTCAGATGGTAGCGATGATTGCTTTAAATGAAAAGACAATTACACTTGGAGCTGTGTGTAATTAAGTCCTTAAATTAGTTCAGGACTCATGTTTGTTTTTCTTTGCTTAGTACGCCTACATGCCATCATACACCCCTCAACCCCCTCGCGCTTTCTCTCAGTCTTTCAGATGAGAGCCACACGCCCACATTCACACACATGTTGTTTAGCTTTCTGAATGAGCTCATTGTTGTTGTGGACTGCTCCACGTGTTGTCAAATGGCATGGTCCACCCTCTCTTGTTGCCTCCTTCCAACTCTCACTCCTCCTCTGATGCATCTGTCCTTCCTTGTTTACATCCTCCTCACTGTTCGTTCATTCTTTCTTTCTTTTTTTCTGTTCTTCCGACCTTTCCTTATTCTCCTCCACCCCCTTATTTCCACCAATGCCGTTGCTTCTTCTCACCCTTATTTTCCTCCCTCTCTCTGTGTATATGTGCTTTGTGCCCGGCAGCCAGCGAGTGTGTGTTACTGCAGCAGCTCTTCCAGTCCAAGTTGACTCAGACTGGTTCTCTGGTGCCAGCAGCCCAGGGCCGTGCTGGGCTGAGGGGGCCTAAAGCTGCACTGTTGCTCCACAGGATGTCATCATCCTCCCTTGTCACTGCCAATACTGTCCCCCAGCAGCCCCGGAGGTTCCATGATCTTACCAAGGTACAGTACACTGTTCAGAGTGGTGAGTGTAGGACTTTACATGAACCACACATGCAGCAAGTCTGTTGTTGCACTGTAGCTACGGTCAACTCCAAAAGACACTTGAGCATCAAAGGATGTGGGAGGACATGTTCATTTTTATCATTTGACAATTAGGTTTGAGGCAAACATTGGCCAAAGTTGGATTGCTCATACTAGCTTATGAAAGTAGATAATAAAATATAGCAATTGTTGAGTTTAAGGGACACAGTCACACAGAAGCTCCTTGTTCCAACAGGGCAACTGACTGCTGTGCGGATCAATGGAAAAACAGGGAAAGTATTTTAGGAAAAAACAACAGTCTAATTTAAGCTTTTTCCCACCACAGTGCTATAAACAATATAGATCTCTGGGAATTGGATTTGTTTGAGTGGAACCTCCACAAGCATGCATACACAGTCATGTGGTGTGCTATTCTCATGACATACAATTATAAATACACAAATGATACAGCCTGATAAAAATATTCTCAATATATCAAGTCTCTTTTTTTAGTCCATCCTCCCCCTCTCTGTTTCTCTGTCTCCATTTCATCTTCTTTAATGTTTTGGAAATTAGAATTGTACTGGTACACATGTGACTGAAAAGGCTTGCTGGTTGTGTAACCTTTTAGTTGGTTCTTCCCGATGTCTCTGTGGCTCATTAGCCATGTAGAGGACAGGCTTACATAAGACCTTTTTCACCTCCCTGTTCTGTCCCAGCAGCCTTATACGGTAACGTTAGGTAATATTGCAGCACTGCACTTGGTGTAAGACAATATAAGACAATAAATGCCATGGGCCGAGTTGGGCTGCAGCGCATATGAAACAGAATAATTGGGACTGACAGAGAAGTTGTCTAATGGCACTGTTTAATGTGCATTGCAAACTTTCTACAAAGCATAAAGACAAACAGATTTTTAAATGTCATGTTTTGATCTTTAGTCAAAGCCACACAGCCTAATTTGATGTTAATATGTGAGGATTATGTTGTAATCATTCAATACCATATCCTTCAGTAACAACTGAAGTAAGATGCGCAGCTATCTCATATTTTTCTCTTTATTATCTCTTTCCATTGTCAGATCTTGAAGAAAAAAGGCTCAAGCTCCTTCCTCCAACGGCTAGAGCGTTGTGGGCCCATCACAGTTGCAGTCCAGCTGAGGGTAAGAACCATTCCCCTCCACTCACCACACATTTGTAGTTTGTGACCTTAAACTAAAAAGGTCTTTGAGTCATAAATCATGGTGATTGTTTCCAGACATTAAAAAAAAAATTAAGCTACAACTTGATATCTTTACAAGCATACTATTGATGCAGTGTGAGTCATTGTCATCACAATTATCTACATTACAAATACAGCAGCCCTCAACTATTAGGGAAAAGTACATTTTCAAGCTTTTGATGCCAATCAGACAAAACCAGTGTGCATTTATGTTTGTCTTTATTTTACTGAATAACCGTTTGCCTGCAAGAATCTTGAACATTAATGTTTTGTGTGAATTTAGTCCTCATCTCAAGAAATCGAGCTATTCAAAGTAGGGTACTGTGATTTCATAATTATATAAAGCAAAAATAATAGAGGAAAGCAGTTCAGCGTCTGCTGGTGACGCAAGGATGCTGAAATGTGGTTCGGTGAACCACTACCTTTGGTTTGAATGAAACCAGTGTGTTGCACAATCAGAGTTGTGGCCTTGTGGTCGACGAGTCCCTCAGGGAATGGCAGGGAGGATAGAGTGGGCTGAAGAATGATGCTGTACCAAGCCAAGCATGAAACCCTCCACATGAATGAATGAACAATGAACAACAACCACTGTGCCATGCGCACGTATATGTGTGTGTGTGCATGCGCATGTTTGGAGGGAGGATAGCAATGTGAATGCTGGTAGTGACGTTCAAAGATGAGGGGTGAAGTGTTGATCATTGTAGTTAAAGATATGCAGAGCATAGACTGACGTCAGTTTGAAGAATGGCAAAAACACAGATGTAAGTGTTTACGTGTATGTGAATGTGTGTGTGTCTGTGTGACTTTGGATGCAACATCTGTGAAGTCAGGGCCTGAAAAAAAGCTCACACTTACACACCCTTAGAATAAGCAAAGAGCTCTTTGTGTTTTTGCTTCCTCCAGAGGCAAAACACCCCCCCAAATAATCAGACCACTTTGTCTGAAACACAATGTGATCTCACTGCAGTTACTGTTGCTCACAAATCAAGTTACAACATCAAAAGGAAGAAGCCAGAGAGCCCGCCTTTCCCTTCTATAATACTTAGTGCACAAGAACAGCCATAGGGCTCTTCACTAATAACTCAGCACAACATGTTGCTCATTCTGCTGAATGAGATGATTGTAAAATTACCAGTGTGTGCCTTTGACTGTATCTCCTCTACTTTTCTCTCTCTCAGAACTCGCTGTCAGAGGTGATCAGTAAGCTGCAGGCTTCCACCCCTCACTTTGTGGAGTGTGTGCGCCCCAACGCCAGTGGTCAGCCAGACAGTTTTGACAGCTTCCATGTGTCTACCCAGCTGAAGTACATCGGGGTACTGGAGATGGTGCGCATGATTCGTTATGGATACCCTGTCCGCCTGTCCTTCCCAGCCTTCCTCAGCAGGTCAGTGCCAGAGCATGTTGCACAATTAAGAGAGCTGCAACTGTCATAACTTGTCCTCTGAAGTTATTGTTCTATGTCTGTATGCTGAGTCATTCACTTCATAGCCTTCTCTTCTCTTTCAGCTTCTTCTTTAAATCTCATAAATGATGGATGGCTCTGCTTCTTCTCTTTGTCTGCCTCAATGATCTTTGTTGTTCGGATACTTTACGCTCCCAGCAGGTCACTGTGATCTCTGTCAGTGTATGTATGACAGGGCGAGCAGGTCAGAGTAAGCTGAAAGCTTGTCAGCATGTGCCTTCTCTACATCTGCAAATGAATGCAAGGGTATGTCCTGTACAGGATCACACGCTCACATGCAAACTGGCACATTAGTATTGACAAGTCACAGCAACCCTTACTGTTAGAAGCACAGAATGACCTTGAATGGCTTTTTAGAGTATGATGGGACTCTATTACAGCTAATGAATGCCGCTATCACATTTCCAATGTCAGCCCGACACACACACTTTAACCAGTCAGTTGTGTGTAAGGTCTCCGTGTCCCACACTTGAATGTCATTATTTCTCTCCATTACCTCTTTTCTTAACTCTTTCACTATGTTCCTAGCTTTCCTGTAAAGTGGTAAACCCCTGCTCCCTACTTCAGCTGCTTCTTGACTCCATCTCCAGCCTTTTTTTTGCTCCATCACTTGTTTTTCTCCTGTTTTGCTGAGAAGCAGCGAGAATTATGTGTTTCTGTCACACAAGGCAATTTCCTCTGTCTTTATCTTACTTTCTATCCCTCTCAGTTTGTCTCAGTCTTTCTCTTCCTGTTCCTCCGATTCTGAAAACCAGTGGAATACTGACAGGATTTAGATCTAAGTCTCTCTCTCTTTCCTATCATCAAACTGTCTCCTGGTCTCTCTCGCTCTCTCTTTTTGAGGATAAAGGGATTAACATGGACATTCCTGCCAGATAATAAGAGAGGACAAAGCTGGTCACATGACCCCCCCAAAAAAGTTTCCACTGCTCTGCTGTAAACATCATCACATCACGTCACACCCCTCCCCCACACACAGACAGACAAACATAGAGAAAAGAGGATGAATCAAGATGTTTATTATTACTTATACTGAGGATTAAGCAAGAAGGCTTATCTTAATTGTCAAAATTAAATCATAGGCAATAAAGCATTGTGATGCTAAGGAGAAAAAAAAAGTCTATGGCTCAAATCAAGTCAGTTTTATTTATATAGCCCAATATCACAAATCACAATTTGCCTCAGTGGGCTTTACAATCGATACAGCATACAACACCTTAGCCCCTCGATTTGTATGAAGAAAAACAAAAAATCTTTAAGCAGCCTTTAACTGCGGAAAAATAGAAGAAACCTCAGGAAGAGCAGCAATGGAGGGATCCCTCGCCTGCACTCTTATTTGGTGAACTAAATGGTTTCTACACTGGTAAGTAACACTTAGCTTAACCAAAGGGATGCATAAAGACAAAGAGAAAGCAGCTGCCCAAACATAGTGTATAAATGATTGAAGTGTGCTGCGTCTATTGTAGAAACAGTGTGACGCTTAATATTTTCTGGTTAAACATACACTCACCTAAAGGATTATTAGGAACACCTGTTCAATTTCTCATTAATGCAATTATCTAATCAACCAATCACATGGCAGTTGCTTCAATGCATTTAGGGGTGTGGTCCTGGTCAAGACAATCCTGAACTCCAAACTGAATGTCAGAATGGGAAAGAAAGGTGATTTAAGCAATTTTGAGCGTGGCACGGTTGTTGGTGCCAGACGGGCCGGTCTGAGTATTTCACAATCTGCTCAGTTACTGGGATTTTCACGCACAACCATTTCTAGGGTTTACAAAGAATGGTGTGAAAAGGGAAAAACATCCAGTATGCGGCAGTCCTGTGGGCGAAAATGCCTTGTTGATGCTAGAGGTCAGAGGATAATGGGCCGACTGATTCAAGCTGATAGAAGAGCAACTTGACTGAAATAACCACTCGTTACAACCGAGGTATGCAGCAAAGCATTTGTGAAGCCACAACACGCACAACCTTGAGGTGGATGGGCTACAACAGCAGAAGACCCCACCGGGTACCATTCATCTCCACTACAAATAGGAAAAAGAGGCTACAATTTACAAGAGCTCACCAAAATTGGACAGTTGAAGACTGGAAAAATGTTGCCTGGTCTGATAAGTCTCGATTTCTGTTGAGACATTCAGATGGTAGAGTCAGAATTTGGCGTAAACAGAATGAGAACATGGATCCATCATGCCTTGTTACCACTGTGCAGGCTGGTGGTGGTGTGTAATGGTGTGGGGGATGTTTTCTTGGCACACTTTAGGCCCCTTAGTGCCAATTGGGCATCGTTTAAATGCCACGGCCTACCTGAGCAGTGTTTCTGACCATGTCCATCCCTTTATGGCCACCATGTACCCATCCTCTGATGGCTACTTCCAGCAGGATAATGCACCATGTCACAAAGCTCGAATCATTTCAAATTGGTTTCTTGAACATGACTATGAGTTACTGTACTAAAATGGCCCCCACAGTCACCAGATCTCAACCCAATAGAGCATCTTTGGATGTGGTGTAAGGGAGCTTCGTGCCTTGGATGTGCATCCCACAAATCTCCATCAACTGCAAGATGCTATCCTATCAATATGGGCCAACATTTCTAAAGAATGCTTTCAGCACCTTGTTGAATCAATGCCATGTAGAATTAAGGCAGTTCTGAAGGCGAAAGGGGGTCAAACACAGTATTAGTATGGTGTTCCTAATAATCCTTTAGGTGAGTGTATACCAAGTGAAATAGATAAGTGAAACTGACATAATAGGTTTTCATGAGGGAAAACCTGAACATGGAATTGAATCTGGAGAACTAGGCCCATGTCAAATGATGAATCCAATATAGACTGTAGTGTTGTCCATCCATAAGCTGCTGACAGCTCCTTTGTGTTTTTGATGGATATACATGTAGAGCCAACACTGTCATTGTTCAGGCTATAAACGATTCCTAGTGAGGGTTTTGTGAAAGCTTTTTGTTGAGCTGTGTGTGTGTGTGTGTGTGTGTGTGTGTGTGTGTGTGTGTGTGTGTGTGTGTGTGTGTGAGCTTGTTAGTGGGTGTCATATAGTGTAGGCAGCCGTGTGTATATGATAATCTTTGTGTTAACAATGGGTGTGACCAGCAGATAACTGAGCATCACAAGGACCAGCTAGTTGCTAGAAAAGGGAAACTTAACCATTGCGGGACTGGAGCTGAACCAGAAGAGGAGCCTGCCCTAGATGGCGTGAAACTCACACTTATCAGGCCTGGGGAACATTTTATTTAATTTAGGTTGTTCAGCACAGGGCAGACATGCTACTGCAAATCTTTTAAATTAACTTGAATGTTTTTTTATGGGGGGGGTTCCTCAAGATAATACTTTGCATTTTTGCACATGCAGTGTTTCCTCCTAGGATTTTTTTCAGCAGCATGGGCAGGACAAACAGCACCCCTGGAGAAACTACAACCTTTAGATCTAGAGAAAGTAATTTAGTTGGTTCTGTTGCTCCACAGTGATTTTACATTGATGGCACAGTCTGTACAGGACAGAGCTACAGGCTATGTCAGTTTAGTCTAAGTTTGTACCTGATGTTCTCATCATTGGACAAGTAGCCAGTAATAAAATGCAGCTTCCAGTTACTTTCTATAAATTGAGCTAATGTTAAGTTACATAGCAGCTGTGTAGCTGCTGTAGAAGCTTTCCTGCTCAGCTGCGCAGTCTGAAGGGGAGGGGTTAGCTAACTTAGTGCTAACCGGCTTCACTTTTCCAGGAGGTGGGAAACAACAGACTTTTCTTGGTCTTGAGAAGCAGAACAGACACTGTACATTTACTGCCAGAATATTTTCCTCCACTCGCGTTCACTGTCACTTTCTGCCGCTCGGACAATCAAACACTCGCTACACACCTCCTGATTCAGAGTTACGCTGCTCTTATGACACCATCTGTCACGTATGTTCTGCATAGAACGAGGAGAGGAAGCGAGCAGAGCATTTGTGTGTTGCCATGCTCGCACAGTGCGAGTGAAAACATCTGTAGCGCATAGTTTAATAATCGTGGGAAATTTTAGTAGCGGCGGTCGTTATTCAGCAGCGGTGCACCGCCACTCATGACTGCATATAGGGGAAACACTGCACATGACAGGCAGGCAGGACACAGAAGTGAGAGGGGTATGACATGCAAGTCGAGTAGAATCAAACTGTGGATGTTGTGGTATGTGCCTTAACCATTTGGCAAGTCGGACACCACAGAAAGATAAACTTTTGAATTAATTTCGTGCAGATTATCATTCACCAAGGCCTGGAATACTGCTGGAGCATTTGAGAAACATCAGCATTTGAAATGTCTTCCACTCCTCCTTCCCAAATGGTAGCACCCCAGAGGTGTTCAGAATCGGTAGCCGAACATAGGGGAACAGTTCTGTGATATTATATGGAGGAAGGTAGTTAGTATATGGGCAGAGAGAACCATAAAAAACCTGCTCCAGCTGGTGAAGTGGATGGATGCGTATACCACATGATGAGAGTCTCTTTGATGTATTCCTTCATTTCAGCTTACAGTCGCTGTAGTGGGGAGGGAGTAGAGATGACCCAGATGGACAAGCACCAGGGAAGAGATCTATTGTCAGACAGGCTGTGTGAGGGTGGGGCGGTTGCTTGCCTTGCCGAACACCTGCAGGTTGTGGCAGTGAAATGTAACATTAGACAGGTTGACAGGGTGTGATTGAGCAACGAACACAGTGGCAGGTGTAGAATGGTGGGTTAGTTGACAGATAGACTTCCATTCCTCAAATATACCAGCGGTCCAGTCAATGTGAGGATTGTGCAGAGTGAGACACAGTTAATCCAGACTAAAGAAACTCAGTCAATCAGCAGGCTGCCATCTAGAGCATGGACAAAGATCTATTTTTGGAGTCAACTAAAAAATTCCCCACATTTCATGTCATGAGAATTGTCAAAC